ACAGTGCGCCAGCCACAGCGGCCATTGTGGAGTGAACCAACGGTAAAGGAAGACCTTTCTCTCTGTCTCTCTCTCTCTCACTGTCCACTCTGCCTGTCAAAAGAAAAAAAAAGATTTCAGGATTAATCAATTAAGGCAGCTAAGATTAATTTTGCTAATATGTGCACATATACACATTCATGCTTCTCTCACACTGAATTTGATTCATATTACAACTCTCAATTCAAGACATCTTGGACGTAGTCTCTGGCAAACAACACATCTCAGTATGAATGAAATGTCCTTGTCAATGTCCTAGCGCACTATTGCTTTTATTAAAAGGAAATGCAGAATGGTCATTTAAGTGCCAGCTCCGGATTCGCTTTTAAATTGGTTTCAATCACACCTTTGTTGTTCATTGTCTGTATGACCTGAACAAGTTATTAAAACCACTGTGAGTTGTGTCCTTCAACTTTAAAACACTGCTACATCAAGAAACAGGATAGACAATCTAACGAAGTGGTAACTAGAATACTTGATTTTTACTTTGAACCTCAACTTTGCCAACTGCTAACTCCACAACTAGCTCCCACATGTAGCCAGTGGAGTAGCTAAAAGTTCAGGTTCTAGAGCCAGACTGTCTGCATTCAAACACAGCCCCCCCCCCCAAATTGTATTCAACATTAAGTTAATAAGGTGAAAACCTCACTGGTCCTCACCTCTTTCAAGACCTGTTGCGGGATTTTATAGTTGTGACTCTCTAGCCTGTTTCTGAAAGAAATGCTCCAGTATTGTAAATGAAAACTTTCAGGTTCCATGAACCCTGGGTTCCAAATTGGCTCTAGTGCTCCCTGGCTCTGGGACCTGCACTGGATATTTACGTCTTCTGTGCTTTTAGTTTCTCCATTCGTTAAATGGAATAAAAATGGCAACCTGGTTTCTAGGATTGTTATGAGGATTCGGAGTCAGTACCTGTGAAATGTTTAGCACAATGCCATGCAAATTTCAGGCCCTCCCTGTGTGCAGGCTCTGTAAATCCCTTCTGTGCTTGTTCTTTATCTCCCTTTTTCATGAGCCCTGTCAGGGTCAGAGTCACCTTCTCTGCAAAATTTAGCCTGCAGCAAGCCTCTCCTTAATCCTTCATTCTTGCCCTTTGTGTCTGCACACATTCTCTTCTACAACTTCCTGAGTTTGTTATAATCTGATTTGATCAACTCTGTTTGGTTTCTTAAATCTAATAGCATTTGTTCTTATTTAGGGCATGACCATTTTGTTTCCATTTCCACCCCTCCCCCAAAAAAGCCATCTACTAGATTAGGTTTTGCAACAGTAACATTGCCCTCAGATTTTGCCTTAAGTAACATTCTAACAACATGGCCACACAGCACCCACAGATCTGCAGTCTTTGGATCCTATCTTCCTCCTGAAATGTTGACCTTTTCAGCCCCAGGAATATCGATATCTCAATTGCACAACAGGCTGTGTCAACTAAGGAAGAGACTTGGAACACAGGGATTTCTGCCTGCTGGATGTGCTTACTGCCTGATTTAAACTTAAAGTAGTGAAATGTACAAGACAGCATCCCACTGAAGGTTTGGAGAATACTGTTCACCTTATGCAAACCTTATATGCAGTTAAGGTAGCAGTTAAAGAAAACTATGTTGCAATGATTTATTGTTTGATATGTCAAGCTTACTGGCCCACAAACCAAATCACTTTCCAGAATAAATATTCATTGTCATTTAAGTCAGAACTACTTAACCAAAGCCTGCAAACATTTAAATCAGGTGGAAAAATACCCAGTTACCCTGTAATCAAATAAATATGATGGATGAAAAGGCAGAAGACAGAAAATTTGCCATTTCTATTGGCACTTAAAGCATTTACCTCATCTTCCATTATTCTGTAGTCATCATTTTTCATGATACCCTTGACTAATATGTGACCATAAACTTAAAAATACTGACTTTTTAACTTATCATGTAGGTGAAATATTATGATGTAATACCTCTCAAAATTTTGTTCAATGGTCAATAATCTGTTTCATAGCCTTTTTCTGCACCACCTATTGAAATGACATTGGAACATCCAGACACCCAGAAAAACATGGAATTGAGCACTCAACACAATGTGCCTGCCTACTTGCTGGTCCTGTCTGAAGTGATCTTGGATTCAGAATGTGAATGTCAACCTAGGATTTCAGCTATGCTTTAACTCATATGAATGCCAGTCCTTCTGACATGTAGTGGCCCTTCCCAAACGCCAGCTGTATTAGTTAGGAGTCTCCAGAGAAAGAGAATCTATAGGAGGAAAGGGGGGGAGAGATGGAGGCAGAAAACCGAGATGAAGGAATTGGCTCATACAATCTTAGGGCTGGCATGTCTGGATCTGCAGAGCCAATGGGCAAATTGGAAAGTCATGGAAGAGCTGATGTTGCAGCCCCCAGGTAAAGGTGGTCTGGAGACAGAATTTCTTCCTCAGAGGGCAACAGTCTTTTCTCTTAAGGATTTAGATTAACTGGATGGGGTTGACCTACATTATTGAAGGTAATTTGCTTTACTCAACTGGTTTAACTATTAATTACATCTTAAAAAAGAAATAACTCCACAGGGGACATCACTGTAGCACAGTAGGTTAAGCTGCTCCCCATAATGGCTGCATCCCATATCGGAGCACCAATTTGAGACCCAGCTGCTCTGCTTCAGATCCAACTTCCTGCTGATGCACCTGGCAAAGCAGTGGGAGACGGGCCAAGTACTTGGGACCCTGCCACCAGTGTGAGAGACAGATGTGGTTACTGTCTTCTGCCTTTGACCTGGCCTAGCCAAACACATTGCAGCCATCTGAGGAGTGAATCAGTGGATGTAAGATGGATCTATCTGCCTCTCCCCCTACTCCACTTCTCTGTCATTCAGCGCTTCAAATAAATATATAAACAAATCTTTTTTAAAAATAATAATTTCACAGCAATATCCAACCTGGGGTTTTATCAAATATTTGGTATCACGCCTAGCCAAGTTGATAAACAAAAGGAACTATTACACCAGCCATGGCCTGCACAGTACAAAGAATGGCTCTGAGTGCCACAGTTCCCCCTAGCTTACAGCAGAATGGTCTCTCTACCTTCTTGAGGTTCTTACCCACTGCTGCCTGCGCCCTTTCTGAGTACCACCTTGTTGAGTGTGTTGGAGACGCATCCTGAAAGAGACGGCTGGGCCAGAGTGAGATGATCCTGAAGGCCAGGGTAGTGCCTGCAGCGAGGAGTAAGCCTCAGCAATGAGCTCTTCCTGTATTTGCTCACGTGGACACTTCCTGTATTCTTTTGCCTTATTTTCTGGTTAATCTCAACTAGATGGTCTCTCTGATGGGAATTACTAAAGTAAATACGAGAAGTACCACATGTAAAGGAAATTATAAGCTGAGTACTTATAAAGGAGTGCCATTGTGATCAGGGCAAGGTAGAACAAAAGCATTGTTCTTGAGTTCGTGAATTAAAAAAAAGAAAGCATGTGATTGCAATAATAGCTGAAGATATAAATGAAGAATGACATGAATGAGGTCCAATTCAAAGAAATGAGGAGGGAGGTGCAGAAGCAGAATAAACAGGCAGAGGAATTCAGAAACCAGCGCATGCACCTAGATAGCAATTCTGAATCCTGGCTACAGCAACATACATAGGTAACTGCTAGAACTTGATTTTCATTCTTCTGCCAGAGTGGATATTACTGGAATGCTACCTGTCACACAAAGCATAGAGGAAAAGCTCACGTGTAACAAGTCCTGCTTAAGAAACAGATTTAATGTAGTAAAGAGAAACAGCAGAATGTCAGATTGGCAAGAGCAGGTATTCCAGCATCCCAGGAAGAGGAGTTCTACGGCCAAGGCATGTCTTGGCCATGGTTGGGGCTCTGCTGTAATAGAGGGAATCCATCCCACTGTGAGTCGCCCTATGTGCCTTATGCTGTAAGACAAGAGTGAAAAAGTGGCAATGTCAACAAGGAAATGAGCAGTCCCTCAGTGCCAAGAAATCTGAATTGAGGATGTCAGCTATTTACAGTAATTATCCAGAATTGCAACATTACCCTTTAGAGATCTGGAGTGGCTGGGGATATTGGATATCTGTAGGATATCACCACTACACCTGAAGTTAAAAAAAGCACTCAACAAGGGCTGGTGTTGTGAAGTAGCAGGTAAAGCTGCCACCTATGAACCCAGCACCACACAGGGGTGCCAGTTTAAGTCCAGATTGTTCCATGTCCAACCCAGCTTTCTACTAATGGACCAAGAAAAGCAGCTGAAGATAGCCCCTGCTACCCACGTGGGAGACCAGAATAAAGACCTGGCATGGCCCAGTGTCAGCCATTAAAGCCATCTGAAGAATGAACCGCAGATAGAAGATCTCTCTTTTCTCTGTGTCTCTCCCTCTGTGTAACTCCAACTTTCAAAATAACTAAATAAATCTTTAAAAATAAAGGGCTCAACTAGCACAGATATCTTCATGTCACCCACACTTCTCTGTCATTCAGAGTAGCCCAGCTCATCCTAGTTTTCCTGTTGTGTGATTGATGCCAGCTTCTAACTAAAACCTGATCATCCTATCCCTCAAAGTGATTTTTGTTGTATTTCCTCTTGAGCTGACTCTAAGGTAATCAAACAAAGGTGCTCTAGGCTGTGGCCTGAAACCTGGCACCATAGCTGGGTTCTTTGCCTGCAGAGGCTGAGAGAAGTGGCTAAAACCAAAGCTACACACAGTAGGACAGGCTGGCTTATAGTGAGGGAAGAGTAAATCATATCTGTGAGCTGAGGAAGGACTAGTATATCTTTTGAGGTCCTGGCCACTTTGAAAAACTCTGATAATGAGAAAATAAGAAAGGACAGTCTAACTACTCCCTAACAATCAAGCTGAATGTTGACTTTTTCCATAGGAAAAAAAAACCTTCAGCTCAATAAGGAAAGATCGTAAGTGGGGAGGATGATTGGATGATTCACATAATGGATCTGCCTGGCAACTCTTCTACTTCCTTGATCTGCATTTAAAGGCAAGCTGGGCACCTGGGACTCTGTTTCTCTGGGACATCACCCTCTGTCTGCTCCAGCATGCGTGCTCTCCAGTTCCTGCTCAGGGTCAGCCCTGCCTTCCTGCTCCTGGTTCTCTGCCTGCAGCTGGAGATCAACAAAGCTGAGGAAAGCATGTGAGCTCCATCCTCCTCCTCCCTACCAAAAAGATAAGAATACCTTTCCAGGGAGGGCTGCTCTCCTCACCTGGAAAGCTACCTATCCTTTCTTGAAGATACTTCACTTTCCTTAGAACTCGACTCCCAGAAGCTCTCCTGGGCCTCATGGCAGACCTCACTCCCCTCCGGGGAAGCTCCACTGGTCTCCTCACATTTCTGCTGAGTGTTTCTAGGTGGCCTGTGGAAATAAAACTCCCAGGGAACAAACATAGACTATAATTGACAATTAGGCTGCATGGACACTTTGATCCACATGCTATCTGTAATCTATATTTCTTTGTAGATTTCTTTTTTTTTTTACAGGCAGAGTGGACAGTGAGAGAGAGAGACAGAGAGAAAGGTCTTCCTTTTTGCCATTGATTCACCCTCCAGTTGCCACCGTGGCCGGCCGGTGCAGCGCGCTGATCCAAAGGCAGGAGTCAGGTGTTTCTCTTGGTCTCCCATGCAGGTGCAGGGCCCAAGCACTTGGGCCATCCTCCACTGCACTCCCTGGCCACAGCAGAGAGCTGGCCTGGAAGAGGGGCAACCGGGACAGAATCCAGCACCCCAACCGGGACTAGAACCCAGTGTGCTGGCGCCACTAGGCAGAGGACTAGCCTGTTGAGCCATGGCACCAGCCTTCTTTGTAGATTTCTAATGATTAGACCTCATCTTCTCACGCCTGGCCTCCTGGGAGACAAGGGTTAACATGTTGGCTTTTGGCAGCTTTGACTGGGTACACTGAAGTATTAGAAGCTTTGGTCACTGTCCCATGGTCTATGATTCAGCAGTTCCAGCAGCCTAAACATTCTACATATTCTGAAATTTGAAAATGAATACTAGACATCTTGTCCCCATCCACATGTGACCTCAGAGCACAGGTTTGAAGGGCAGCTTGCTCAGGGTCTATGTGTGAAAGCAGCAGGAAAACTGGGAGAAGTGAAATGAAGTAGGAGATGGAGCCAGGGACGGGAGAGAAGCAGGGATATGCAGATAACCTAGGGAGATTCCTCAGCAGCCGCAGCAGGATTTGGGTCTGTTGATCATGATCCTGGGGATGCTTTCTGTGGCGGTTCTATCCTGGAGGAAACTGTTATAGGTTTTGACAAGCTGATGCAATGGAAACCTCGTATGAGGACAAGTTGAGATCAAGGTGTCACCCCACCTAGTCCAGAGAGACAGCAAATTGAGCTCATGATGGTGATCAAACATCCCAGTTTCCCCAGGACTTTCCTAATTTTAACACTGACAGCCTCTCTACTCCAGAAAGTCCCTTGGTTCAAAGCCAACTAGATGGTGAGCCAATGTAACTAAGCTGGTCACTCTACCAACCCCAAACTCAGGCACAAACAGGAGGAATTTTTAAGATACCCAGGTCATCACACCCTCTTCCTGTGTACTGGGAAAACACTAGAGCAATCACCAGAAATAGAAAGGTCTGTGCTGTCTTACCCCAGAAAAATGGGACTGTGGAACATTGTGGGCTAAAAACCTGATTTCCCTTCTGTTCTATTCAGTACCAAAGGTCTTTGCCAGGTGTTTCTGGGAAAGAGGAAGTAACTCTCCTGGCCCTAAACCCAGTCCTCATTAAATGAAAAGGAACATTTAATCGTTCCTTTGTGTTTCCTTATCCATCAGACTGTGGTGTGCTACCTGAATGTAGAGTGGAATCTAAAGTTCTCAAATATGGCTATAGATCCAAAGCTCCTACAGAGTTAATAAATACTAATCCGTAGGTCCTGTGCTAGAACCAGAGAAGCAAGACATACAAGGACGATCCTACAAACTCCTCCAAGGCATTGAGACGTTTGCTGGTTTAATGTGATTCTTTGGATATAAACTGTTCTCCAAATGATCTCTTGAGTCCTCCCACTCAGTGGATGTGTAGCAGAACCTGTGAGATGGTATTAGGAAATGTTATGTAGTATTGTAATTTAGTTCTTTCTTTTTAAAATTTATTTTTAATCAATGGAAGTAAAGTAGATGTTCAGTTTTAGATAGTGTCCCAGTTGCTTTATTAAAATTACATCGTATAAGTCAAAACAACCACATACAAAAATTCTCAGGGATTCTGATGCTGAGCAGTTGCTCCCACCATCTCCCTTCCTTGCAGCGCCCCACTTCACCTGCCCTGTTCATGGCACCCTCGTTCTCTGGTAAATCAGTCTCTGATCTCGGGGCACTGCTTCTCTCTTCCCAGAACCAGCTGGAAAGTGATACAAATGGATCTGCAGATGCCTACAGTAGCAGTTGCAAATGAGGAGGTCACTGTGAAGCTTGGAATTCAAACAGAATTGAAAGAATGTATGGTGGTAAGTAGAGGTCTGAGACCTCAAGACGAATCCGACTCCTTAATTATGAATGCAAAGAGGGAGGTGCCTTTCTCTGAAGGGAGGAGAGAACCTCCACTTTGACTATGACCGTGTCTAAACAAGATAAGAGTCGGAGAACTCAAGGGGCTTCCATAGCCTTGGAAACTCATGACTGGTGCATAGGGAGATTACTGATGCCATAAACAGGAGTGTCAATTTGTAAAGTCAACAACAGGAGTCACTGTGCACTTACTCCTCATGTAGGATCTCTGTCCTTAATGTGCTGTACACTGAGGCTTAATGCTATAACGAGTACTCAAACAGTATATTTCACTTTGTGTTTCTATGGGGGTGCAAACGATTGAAATCTTTACTTAATGTACACTAAACTGATCTTCTGTAAAAAAAAAAAAAAGAAAAAAAAAGAAATTATCAATTCCCAACTTGACTCTCACTGGGATTAAACATGACAATAGGTCTGATCTGATTTCATCATCATTTAAAAAAAATCATCTATTATTTTTCACTTTATGTTTCTGTGTGGGAGCAAACTGTTGAAATACTTACTTAAGGTATACTAAGCTGATCTTCTGTATATTAAGATAATCGAAAATGAATCTTGATGTGAATGGAAGGGGAGAGGGAGTGGGAAAGGGGAGGGTTGTGGGTGGGAGGGACGGTATGGGGGGGGGAAGCCATTGTAACCCATGAGTCGTACTTTGGAAATTTATATTCATTAAATAAAAGATAAAAAAAATTATGAATGCACCTTAATGTGGCACAGTAGACACAGTAAAGATATTTCCATATATGTTAAACTATTTGAGCATCAGCTCAATCATGGGAACTTGGGGGCTGATGACTATTTCCATTTTGTAAATGAATAAATTTTGGTCCAGAGAAGCAGGGAGAGTAGGAGACTGAGAAAAAGAAGGAATGGAAGTGAGAAAGAGGGAGAATTTTTTAAAAAGTGTAATAGCTGGTGGAAACCACAGCCTTAGCAGCTCATGGCAAGAGCCTCGGGTGATCACTGACATCATAAATAAGAGTGTTAATTGTTAAATTAACAACAGGAGTCACTGTGCACTTACTCCCCATGTAGGACCTCTGTCTTTAATGAGTTATACCATGAGAATTAACTGCAAAACTTGTTCTCAAACAGCACTTTATACATGGCGTGCATGTGTGGGTGCAAACTGTTGAAATCTTTGCTTAGTATAGATCTGGTCTTCCATATATAAAGTTAAATAATGAAGAATGGGATAGGAGAGGAATAGAAGATGGGGCAGAAGTCGGGGTAGGAGGGCAGGTATGGGGGGAAGAACCACTATATTCCTAAAGCTGTGAAATTTGCATTAAGTAAATAAAAGCTTTAAAAAAAAAAAGAGCTGGTGGAGAACGGCTTGTGGGTATGGCTGGTTTGGGAGGGGGATGGGGGGGAGCCTCAGAAGAACTAACTGCAACCCATGCAGTAGGTGGAGGCAGGCAGGGGAAGAGGATGTGCAGGATATGGCTCTGCTCCAGTGAACCCTAAGCAGAGCCTGCTTCCCTCTCACCCTTCTGCTGATCCCTGGCCCCACATCAGAACTGAACCCTCGTGCCAGTCTCCGCTCCTTGACAAAGAGCCTAGACTCTTCTCCTCCTTTCCCCCAGCTCAGCATTTATTGGAAAAAGTCCCATCTCTGAAATAGAGCCTGGGCATCTCTTAAAATGCAGGTTCTGTGTGGGGAACAAACCCCAGGGCACACCAAAGCTGTGCCCAAAGAACCACTGTGAACAACTTGGAGTTAGAGCATCATCCTCCTGCCTAGCTGCCTTGGGCCACAAGGAACAGAAACTGGGCAGTAATAACCCCTACTCACAGTCACGTGTTCTCCACCTGGCAGTGGTCGCAGGTACCAGACACAAAATCTAACCCCTACAAAATACCTTTTCTCCAGGCCCAAGATGGAAGCATCCCCCTTAGTCCCCAGCCCCAAGACCCTTCCGGGACACCTTCCTGGGTGATTAAAGTGTTTCCCTACAAATGAGTTTCCAAATTCAAATGCAATTTAAGGACAATGATTAAATAAGAAGCAAAACTGGGAACGTGAACATTGCTATTCCTTAAAATACATTCCTGAAATATCCCCACACCTGTAAGAGAAAGATTCCTGATCACTGAGCCAAGAATATAACAGCAATTTTGCCAAATGTCAAGTTTTTCTACTTAAGAGTCCAAGAATCTGAGCCATGTTAATTCAGTGCATCATGGAGGCTGATTCATAATTTAGCAATTTTGTGCTTTATCATAATCACAGATGAGATGGAGAATGAGTACATAATGTGTGAGTAAAATTTTTGTGATAACAGCAGCTGCTACTAGTGAGAGACAGTGGCAATATATTTCCACCTCTGAAAAAGTAATGGGTTAATAAAATGTGTTTAAATCAACAAAATGACAAGTGTTAAAATGTTGTGCTATTAGGATTTATAAATTATGCTTTTAAGAATCATGTTAATACAATAAAATAAAGCTCTCTTTGTAAACCCTACCCAAGCACAAATAAAAGGACAAGGAATGTCTCAGACAAAGTGATTTTGCAGACTAGAAATAATTCATGACAAAGAAATGTTGTGAATTACAGGGAAAAAATTTTATTTGTAGTTTTCAATTTTATAAAATATAGATAAGAAACATATTTATATTTGCAGAATTTTAAGAAAGTACAATTTATTCATGTAAGTGTGAAATTTCTACTGTCTAATCCTTATTTTCCAGTTATGGCTTCACATCTGAATTTATTTTATAAAGTGAGGCCTTAGGCTCACAACTGTTTATTTTAAAATTCATATAGATTATACCCTCAATCATATATTTGAATGTGTACAACCTTTAAAATTGAGGAAGATTTATGGGAAACCAGTTTAAAAATTATAGTGTTATGGGCCATTTTGCTGGTTTTGTGGTCTATGAAACATTTATTAAAAAAATTATAAAAGTATAAATAAAAGTGTGTTTGATTACATAGGAAAACTACCACATTGGATAATAATAAAATTATTAAAAATAAACTTATGAGACAATAATATTGATATCTGCATTTCTTTTTCAACATGTGATCCAGTAAGGCAATACATCTGAAATATAAACAAGTTAAATTTTATTTTTATAAAGACATTAACTGTGTGATAAATGTTGCTACTTGAAGATAGACAGACATTAAATTGTACTCTGATTGTTGACAATGCATATGTGCCAAGCTAGACATCTGATGGAATCAGATTTTTTTTTGTTTTGACTATACAAGTGCTGAAAATCTTGATTCAAGAAGATATGTTGATGTAAATGTTATTAAAAGGTAATCAAAGGAAGGAGGGGTACCAGGACTCTCCAAAGCCTTCCTAGTGGAGCTCCAGCAGTGAGAACACTTGAATTTATTGTGTTTGGCAGAGGATTATGGGGTGCAGAGTTGCCAGACATCTGAATACGATTCAGGAGACAGCAGATGGCCTCAGCTATGCTTATGTAACCCATCTGTCATATGTTCAAGGTAGTGAACCATGGATGCAAGTGATGTTTCAAGATATTTGACAGCAAACTAGAATGAACATGTGTATGTTTCTCCTCGAGACAAAATCACACATACTGCTAATGCTATTGTGGTTCATTGATGATGATGAAGGAATACTCAATTTCAATTAAAAGTCACCTAGGTTCACAAACTTACGGAATTGCAGCTACAGATCCTTCTGGGTGGTGGACTCCAGGACAAAGCCTCTGTGTCAACACTAACTAGACACTGAGGTTAACGTGGACAACAATGGGAGAATTTAAGCTGCAAAACACTCCCAAGTTAAACAAGAAAGAAAAGAAATAAAGGGAAGGGGGAAGAAGTGAGGGGAGAGGAAGCTTCTCTTCCCAATTTCATTTGCTCATCCAACAGCCACATTTGGGATAGAATGGTTTCCATCTCACAGCTGAAGAAAGTGTAAATGAGAGGTATAGCTTTAATGACCAAAGGTCACAAAATTAAGGTTTGGCCTTGCTTCTACACGCAAGAGACCAGGCTGCCATCTCACAGGGTCACTGGGTGAGGTCCAGGAAAGGTCTGGCCAACAACAGAAGCAAGCAAGCTACACAGACAGCCTCCACAGAATGAGTTCCTTCTGCCCTGTGAATCCACTCACCTCCAGTCTCCTGTCCACACTGCTAAGGCAGGAGTTTGAGGAAACAAGGAGAAAAAACCTTCTCACACAGACTGGCACCCCAGAGGATAAGGTGTGCCCCTGACCCACCTCTGGCTCCTTCCTCCTTTTCTTTTCCTCTTCTCCCATTCCAGCAGACTAATGCTGAGTCCTCTCTCCCTGCCTTCTTCTGACCAGATTAAAGCCTACCTCAGAAGCAACATCCAAATCGATGGCCCATTCAACTATCGATACACCAGTTGCCTCTGTGATGACTATCCAAGAACCTTCTACTGGGACTTAGTGGCTAACCGTGAGTACAGGAGCTGTCTAAGGGAGGAGCTATCCACTGGGGAGGCAATCCAGAAACAAAAGCATGGCTGCAGAACCAGAGCAGAACCTCTCGGGTAGAAACAAGGAGGGGACGTGGGGAGGGAGAAGAATGGGCAGATCACTGGAAAATGATGCCCAGGTCCCAAGAGGAGCAGCTGTGTGAGAATTAGGAAAGGAGATCAATTTGCAAAAGACTTGGGGAAACGGAATCCCAGCGTGTGCATGCCTGACCCTAGGAGAAGAGAGGATGCTGGGGCTAGAATGTCTCAGAGGTGACCTTTGTCATCATCTCTTTCAGGCACTGCAACCATTGCAGCTGTGGTTGACATTATTCGGGAACTAGATATCTGTCCAGAAGATAGAGCTGTGGTACCCATCAAATCCAACCGGTACTATGTACTCCATAGACTAAATGTATCTTAATGGAAGCCCATGGGTGTCCTGCCACACCTATGTGGTTCCAAGAAAGTGTGGCTGACATCTGTACAATAAACTTCTTATATGCTTCTCCGTGTTCTACCGTATCTATCCTCCAAAATCTACCCAAAGAGACTCAAGGCACGTAAATTTCCAGAACATTAGTCTTTTAAAGAAGCTTCCCTAAAGAAATTTTATGGGTTCTTACTTCCCATTGGGATAAAGAGGGAAAAAAATAAAAAGGTAAAAGAGTGAATATTTCCACAGAGCAGGGAGGTGGAAGCCCCAAAACTCGGAGCAAATGAGACACAGAACTAGGACAGGCAATTGTCTCCCTATTACTTGGCATTTATTCATCCCACGCTACCCCTTTAGTAACTGTTCCAACGCCTCCTGCAGGCAGCAAGGCCAGGGACAGCGTCTGTGGCCCTCTAAATGAATGGCAGCATTCTTTCCCATTCTGTTGCTTCTTTTTAACTGGCGAGAGACAACGGGCTGTGACACCCAATACACTAGGCTCCCGAGCAGCCCTGCCTACCATGCTCAAGTGCAGTAGAGGAGGCTGACCAGGAATAGAGAAGGCCCGGTAGGATTTCTTCAGAGAGAGGGAGCAAGCGCTTCCTGCCAGAAGAGGAATACCAGAAAGGGTCAGGGACACAAAGTGGGCGAAGGGCAGTGTGGCAGAAAGAAGAGCAAAAACATAGAGCTCCAAGCATAACATAGTGCCATGTCAGACAGAGCAGGTTATCATTTGAATGCTGGGCATATTTAAGTGGGAACTGTAGGGCTAGGAGGATGCTGGTGAGGTGACAGAAGTCAGAAGAGGCCAAATATGTCCGGGCAAAAAAGTGGGACTCTCTCTCTCAGGCTGGTAGTAGTCCAAATGACTATCATAACTCAGGGCAGGGAAATGTAATGACTGGAAAATATCATGTGATAAATGAATGAAGCCAGTGACATCATTCTCATACTGCTAAACACGTTATGTGCTTTATCACACACCCTACTGAAAACACCCACGTGCATTAAGTCTTCATTCACTCAATAAATATTTATTTAGTGCATATGTATGCTGCCATCTGCTGTATTTCTTGGTTTTAGAGAAATGAATAAAGAATTTTTCATCCTGTTCTTACAATGCTTCCATTCTTCATGGGAGATAAACAGTAGAAAAGTAGATACTATTTTCATCTTCATTTATGGGAAAACTGCGATGACAGAAGGTGAGACTTTGCACACCACCAGCAAACAGAGATAGCATTTGAAAATGTAGGCAGATGCCAGAGACCATGCTCCTAGTGTCTTCACTACACACATGATCCATAGTCGCATTGAGGGCCTCAAAACCTCCACCACATAGCGTTTCAAAATTGTGAATTTTAGTTCTTTCATGATCTCTGTGCACACCGTTGCCTCCTGCAAACACTTTGTCCAGCCACACACCTAGAATCCTTGGTTGCCTTGGGCAGAACTGTCCAGTACACACACGCATACACACACACACACACACACACACACACACATATATATATATATATTTGACCGGCAGAGTGGACAGTGAGAGAGAGAGAGACAGACAGAGAGAAAGGTCTTCCTTTGCCATTGGTTCACCCTCCAATGGCCACCGCAGCCAGCGCGCTGCGGCCGGCGCATTGCACTGATCCGATGGCAGGAGCCAGGTACTTATCCTGGTCTCCCATTGGGTGCAGGGCCCAAGCACTTGGGCCATCCTCCACTGCACTCCCGGTCCACAGCAGAGAGCTGGCCTGGAAGAGGGGCAACCGGTACAGAATCCGGCGCCCCGACCGGGACTAGAACCTGGTGTGCAGGCGCCACAGGTGGAGGATTAGCCTATTGAGCTGTGGCGCGGGCCACAAATATATATTAAAATATGTTTTAAGGGGCTAGTGTTGTGGTGTAACGGGTAAAGCCAATACCAGCATCCCATATGAGCACTGATTCAAGTCCCGGCTGCTCCACTTCCAATCCTGCTCCCTGCTAATGGCCTAGATAAAGCAGAATACAGCCCAAGTACTTGGGTCCCTTCTACCCCCATGGAAGACTGGAAGAAGCTCCTGGCTCCTGGCTTCAGATTGGCCCAGCCCCAGTCATTGAGGCAACCTGGGGAGTGAACCAGCAGATGGAAGACTAACGGTCTGTCTGTCTGTCTGTCTCTCTCTCTCTCCCTTCCTCCTTCTCTCCCTATCTCTCTGTAACCTGACTTTCAAGTAAAATCTTTTAAAATTTAGACACTGGGGCCAGCACTGTGGCATACAAGGTTAAGCCACAGTCTGCAGTGCCTGCATCCCATATGTGTGCTGGTTTGAGTCCTTACTAATGCACCTGAGGAAGCAGTGGAGGATGATTCAAGTCCTTGGACTCCTGCACCCACATGGGAAACCCAGAAGAAATTACTGGCTCCTGGCTTCAGCTTGGCCCAGCCCCACTGTTGTGGCCATCTGAGGAGTGAACCAATGCTGGAAGATTCTCTCTCTCTCTCACACACACACACACACACACTGTCTCCCTCTTTCCCTTTCTCTCCCCCTCCCTCTCTCTCCTTCTTTCTCTCTCTCTCTCTCTCTCTCTCTCTATATATATATATATATATATCTGCCTTTCAAATAAATAAATTTTTTAAAAATAAGAAATCTTATTTTTAGAAAAAATTTAAAAATATGTTTTAAGATATATGTGTATTTTTAAATTTCCTGGTAGCACATTTTTAGATAAGCAAAACAAAACAGAATAAATTAAGTTAATATGTTATTTAACCTACGATCTCCCAAATATTATTTCAAGATATAACATTAAAAATGACTGAAGAGATATCTTGCATTATTATACTCATACCAAATCCGAAATACGTCAAGTATCTTCACTGACAGCACACCTAGCTGGGTGAGCCTCATTTGCAGGACTGAGTGGCTGCACGTTGCTACATTTAGACTATGCGGATATTGGCATTTCCACTGTTTCAGAAAGTGTAAGAATGTCTGCAGAGCAGGGCTTTCTGCAAACTCTCATCAAAGGAGCTCACAAATTACAGTCGCCACCACCACTGCTGCTTCCATCCTAATACTACGAAAAAGAGCACTGCCCCCACACACTCTCTAAACAGATTCTCTGCAGAATTTGTTACTAATCATTTCATCTGTTTCCACACCTTCAGAAAACAGACTCAGTTCTATTAGCACTTTCTGTGACTATTTTTTAATACTTCCACTAAAACATTATTTTACCTCAAGAAGGCAATTATGGTTACCTAAGTGTTTGTGGGAACCCCTCAGAATAAGTAACCAGAACTGTCCAGGGAGACAGACTAACTGGGTAGGGTAGCGTGGGTGATGGCAAATGCTCATCAGACAAAAGTGAGTGCAGGAAGCTTATGTAGACTCTGTCAAGCACATCTGGGTACTTTACATGAGGCCAGGAACATGTGTGTGGAGGCAGCTGTTAAATGTCTGAGAACCTCCACCTCTAAAGAATGCCAAGCCCTTGACCCCCATGGAAATAAGCACAGCAGATTGCGTGAACGCCATGATATCTGGGGTTTCTATTACTTACCTCATGAACCAAGAAAATTAGGTGCTAAGGAAAGAATTGTGGAATTAGAAGGAAAGGCAGGGGCTGGGGCGTAGCAGGTAAAGCCACCACCTGCAGTGCCAGCATCCCATATGGGTGCCAGTTCAAGTCTTGGCTGTTCCACTTCCAATCCAGCTCTCTGCTATGGCCTGGGAAAGCAGTAGAAGATGCCAAGTCCTTGGGCCTCTGCACTCACGTGGGAGACCCGGAGGAAGCTCCTAGCTCCTGGCTCCTGGCTCCTGGCTTTGGATCGGCACAGCTCTGGCCATTACAGCCAATTGGGGATTGAACTAGCAGATGGAGGACCTCTCTCTGTCTGTCTGTCTGTCTCTCTCTCTCTCTCTGCCTCTCCTCTCTGTATAACTGTGACTTTAAAGTAAAATAAATAAATCTTAAAAAAAGAAAGGAGAGGCAGCATTCCAGTCTATCAGACAGAAGGAAAGATGGAATCACAATAGCCAAGCTTTGTCCTGATTCCCTCAGCAGAAGTGAGCAAGGAAATTAGAACACTTCCAGATATTCTCACGAAAGTGCAGATGTATACACATGCAAAAACCAAAACACAGCTCTTAGAGAACCACAGCAGGCAAGTTTTATCCTCTTATACCAGAGAATAAATAGAGGAAGACTGTTACAATTGGGAAATCTCTTCCAAAAGACTGCCACACAAGTCCATTTTTCCCATCTGCACAAATCTGGGGATGGGACAATGGGCTGCTCTGTATCCAAGTCAAGCCTTAAGGGCTCACTCATGATGAATTAGACCAGGTTATCATCTGCTCCTCCCTCTCCAAATGGGCACGAGCCAAGGAAGGAAAAAACCAGCAAACCAAAACAAAGAGAAAATAAAAAAGAAAGAAGTTATGTTAATCAAATGTTTCAATGTTTAAGGAAACGGAAATGCTAACCATCCCATTTGATTATTGCACTTTCTATCACAAGGTACCCCATGAAAATGGACAACTTTGGGGCTGGCACTCTGGGGTAGCAGGTGAAGCTGCCACCTGCAGTGCCGGCATCACATATGAGTGCCGGTTCGAGACCCGGCTGCTCCACTTCTGATCCAGCTCTCTGCTATGGCTGGGAAAGCAGTGGAAGATGGCCCAAGTCCCTGGGCATCTGCACCCACATGGAAGACACTGAGGAAGCTCCTGGCTCCTGGCTTCAGATTGGCCCAGCTCTGGCCGTTACGATCATTTGGAGAGTGAACCGGTGGATGGAAGACATCTCTTTTTCTCTGCCTCTGCCTCTCTGTAACTCTGCTTTCCAAATAAATGAATAAATCTTTTTTAAAAAATGGAAAACTTTTTCAAAAGTGTGGAACCAGGATGCTTTCTATCCCTGTATGTCTTGTGACAGACATGACTCTTCCCTTGTTAGCTAGAAACTGCTTGCAAGTCCAACAAGCAGGACAAATTTGAGATACTTTAAACTGCACTAGCCAAGTTATTCTCCCCTAACACAATCTTCTATTTCATTTTCCTTTGCAAGACCAGTCACATAGGT